TAGCATTAAGTTAAATGATATATAGCTAGTCATATATAAATAAGTTAACTATAAACATATATGTATAATACTTGTTGAGTATATGTGGCACTACCTTAAAAAGTTTCAATAGAGTTAGAGTAGTAGTTTTCAATAGTTTTGATGCTACTGTAATTGCATTGAAAACATATATTTTAATAAAAGATATGGCACATACGTGAGTATTTAATTAGCAACAGAATACAAAATAACAAATAGGAATACAACACGAACTTTAATAATTTAATTAAAAACTATTATATACAAGCTAATGGAGCCTTGACACATTAGCTCAAGCCTCTGTCCCTGGACAAGCTGACAGCAACAAGCCGATATGTAAGTTTCTTAAATATAGCTTTATTTACATATAGTAAATTATATACAATACACAAAAACGTGATATGTATAAAGTATTTAAAAGTTAATAAAGCAAGGCCCAGCTGATGTTTAAAAATAAAAAATTTTTGAGGATTTTGACAATTGAGTCAATAGCAAAATAATTTATACCACATGTATACTATTGACTTACTAATCAAAATAAAATAATTTATATATTTATAACAAATAAACAATTTATATATAAAAAATAAATTTTTACAAATTTTTAATAAACTAATAATTGCTTATAATAAATATATGAAATATAATAATTTAAATTATTTATTCAAAAAATTACAAAAAAAAAATCTCTTCTCTATACGTATTTTTTTTTATAAAAAATTATTTTTTTAAAAAATTTCTCTTTATCAAAAAATTTTTAATTAATAAAACATATTTTTTAAAAAAAACATAAATTAATAAATTGCTTAAGAAAAAAATAATATATATATCTTTTAAAGATTAATACTAACAATAGTATTAATTACTATTTTAAAAAAGTAAAAACAAATAAAATAGTTTTATTATTATTATTTTTTTTTTATAGATAAATATATAATGATGCAAATCTTTATTGATACTTGTGTAATAGAAATATATCAAGTATCTTTTACAATTGAAACAATTATTATTTATGTCAATTATGTCTAATAATAGTTTTAACTATTATTATACTGCCTATTATCTGTTACAGTAACAGTTACTATCTATCTTAAATCCAACTACAGTGAACCCTCTTTAAATGCACACCCCTCGGGACCATAGGAAAATTTTTGAAAAATGTGCATTTATAGAGGGTGTGCATTTATGGAGATAATTTTATTAAGAGTTCTATGTACTTGGGACCAAGCTTGACCATTCATTTAGAGAGAGAAAATATAGTAAGTGCATTTATAGAGGGTGTATTTAGGAAGGTCTCTCTATATAAAGATAAATAAATATATATGTGTATATGTATATATGTACAGCATATCTCTATATAATTTTTTTTACATAATAATTTATTTAATTGCAAATAGCAATAAAAAGATTATATGTATTTGTTAATTGAAATAAAATAAATTTATTTTTTTTAATATTTAATTTAATATACTATGAAAAATCAAAAAATTTTTATTAAATAAAAATTATATTGATAATTTAATTACCTTATATTATTTTAAAAATATTGTATAAAGAAATATTAACTAAATATTGGTAAGAAATTTTTTTTTAGTATATTATAATAATATTATTAATCTTATTTAAATAAAATGATATAACATTAAAATAAATTATTATTATTAAATATTTTAATATATTTAAATAAAAAATTGGAATCGACTAGTCCTTGCGCCTTAACGAAATAAATCGAGTTAGCTCAGGTATTAGTGTCAATTTCGTTTTTTTTATCTTGTTTTTACATACGTATTGTCTATTGTCACATGTACAACTTTTGAAAACAATAGCTATATACAAATACTGAATTTAAACTATGCAGTATTTTGTAATTTAGTAATAAAGAATTTTAAGAAAATTAAAAAAAAAAAATTTTCCGACTGCTTGTGTAACTATCTTATAAAGCAACTGTGAAATTAGTAAAATTCGTTGCATTTTGATGATTGATTTCGATGACGACCAGAAGCCGCACTTTACTTTTTTTACAATTTAGAACCTCTTTTGCAAGATCCCAACACTCTCGACCTTTACCTATCAATTCCTCAAACTTTGATAACATCACGTCTGAACATGTCGGGCTGATCGAGAGTTCTGATCACCAAATTATAGAACTTGCGGTTTTACCACCGAAATGGTAAAGACAAATCTATATTAGGCCATGATTAAACACATTTGCCATAATTTTACAAAATTTTATTTTTATTTTTTTCCTCAGGGTAGACATAGTTGACGAAGTCGACGAGAAAATAGACAAAATAAAAAGCCTAAGTAGGAGTTTTTGCTAGGCCGTTTCTTAAAAGCAGGATCTTTCTGATCTTGGTTATTGTTTTTCGTAGTTTCAACGTTAGAGTCTCTGCATAAGAAACACGTTTTACCGGGATTTGACGATCGAACCGAAGAAGAAAAGGAAATAGAACGATTGACTAAAGAGATAACTGAAGTAGATAATGTTTGCTCAAGCCTTTTCCGGTTTCTCAGAATTCATTTTTTACTATTTCGATATATATTTTCCAACAGCTTTTCCAACAGTGTCAGCAAAAGATTAGATGGATAGGTGATCACGGCCAAACGACAGCGTTAAATCAAGAGTTGGTATTAAGTAGAAATGTTCAAACTTCGTTAGCCACAAAAGTACAGGAATTATCCACGAGCTTCAGAAAACAACAATCGGCGTATATGAAGAGTAAGTTTATTAATACCTTTTATGTTTGGTTTATTTTTGGAAGATGTGATGATCCACATTCTGTCGTATAATTAGGGCTCAAAGCAAGGGAGACCAAAATTCCGGGATTGTTTTCTATAGATTCAGTTGATGACGATCCTAAGGGGGTAAGCTTAGTACAATCTTTTTTTTTTTCATTTCTAGAAATTAACAAAACTGATCATTTTTAAATTTTATTCTCAGGGTTTTACCACAAATCAATTAGTCATGGTAGAGTCTTCAGAGGCATTAGTAGCCCAGAGGGAAAGGGAAATTAATGAAATTGCAAAATCTATAAACACACTGGCAGAAATATTTAAGGATCTTCAAACTCTCGTTATTGACCAAGGGACGTTATTAGATCGAATAGATTATAATGTTGAACAAATGGTCACTAATGTGAAGGCAGCAGTTAAAGAGTTAGATAAGGTGAGAGAATATGCTGTTCACTTTTTTTTTCGCAGAGTCAAGTACGATATAAAATTAATAAGTTTTATGTTTCATATAGAGTGAAGGTTATCAGAAGAAAATGAGAAATAGAAAGATAATACTTTTACTATTATTAATTATTTTTGGATTAATTATTATTCTTATATTTAAACCTCGAGATCATTAATTTGCATTAGCATAAATTTTAAAGTTAGTTTCATTTTAATTGTTAAGTATTCTGGAATTTTAACGTCATTTTCATCCCATAGATTAATATCAAACTCGATGTACAATATATATAATTTTCAAAAGTATCTACCTACAAGGAAAAATTAATAAATTGTTAATTCGCGAGCTTTTTCGTATGTCACATGATTTAAAAATATTTGTCACAACTAACGATAGGTAACAATTATTACTTATTGCGTTACTTGCGTTTTTTTTTTTTTTTTTTTTTTTTTTTTTGAATATAAATTTGCTGTTGATTTTTCCAGTTTTTTTCCTATTTTATCGATATCTGTTTACAAATGAATGATGTAAGCACGTTTCTTTAATCTACAACCACTTATAAGTCGTGGTTAAGTATCTGAAAAGCCTCATTGTTAGTTTTCACATCGGCTTCCTCTGTTCACAGCAAGAAGATAATGTTTTCCGCCCCATTATGAGCAGTGAGGAAACGTTGTTCACGTCCTTTTCCCCACCACTAGTTAACAGTAACTCTTCAACAGCGAAGTCGTCGTCCACCACGGCCCATCACTTGAGACCTCAAACGAGCTTAACTACGGTTGTAAATGCACAAATTTGCTTCCTATTGAATGCGCTCTTACCTGACAATTACGCTAGCAAAGTATCAGAGATTAATTCTGTATGTATAATTTGCTTTTCACTGAAGTTAATTTTCACCATAAGAAGAGTGTAGTAAATTCTAATATGATCTTTGCCTATTTTGACAAACTATATTTAAAAACAATAAACTTTTTTCTTTTGAATGCGCAGCTTTTAAACAAACACGGTCAGGACACATATTTCTACTTATTGAGGAAACTATTGATTATCAATAAGAGCCAAATTTGCAACACTGGTTCTGGTAATTCGGACCCTTCTCCAAGCTACCCTCTCTTAATCGAAAAAGTCAAAGAAGCTGCTAGCGATCCTTCTTTATCAATTGTTTTATGCGAGGCTTTCAACTCAATAAACCCTGTAGATTCTTTTAAGGATTTTGATCTTGACAATTTTCTAGAGACCGTTGGAATTAATCCGGTAGAAAAAGTTAGTCTTTGTATCTCTTTATTACCGTCGAATAAAAAGGAGATCGTAGAACAAGGTAGCGTCGCACTCGTTCGGTCAATTTTTTTTTGAACTTGATGTCTAGATCCGTTAATTAAATGCAAATATTTTAAACAATAGCGCGTGAAATAATCAGGCAAAACTTTGACCCTCTTGTGAAAGCCCTAGAGGACCAAGCAATTCAAGCAAACTTATCGGACAAACTTCTCCATCACTTAATTGCTTATTTTAAATCACACGAGGTCGAAAATCTAAACATTTCATCCCAACAAAGTGAAACTGCATCAAGCGCTGAAAGATCGCCATTCTCGTCTGTGCCAATTGGTCTTATTCCCCTCCTGAGTAATCAATCAGTCAATTCTGCGTAAGTACAATCTGCGAGTAACTCATTAATCGTTATTCAGTCTTTCTGTTTTCGAAATTTAATTTGTTTCTGATGACTTATTTCGTAGAAAAATGTCTGATCCAAACGAATCACCCCAACAGTCTCTTTCCAGACTTATGCGCGATGCGGGCTATAAATGTTGCAATACATTAGCCGCATTTACTGAATTGGTGGGCCAATTAGGGGTGAAACCGCATGCTTCCGAGGAAATAATTAAGGAAGATGACATCGCTCGTGCGGTCGGAATGATGGTAGAAACGCATTCCAACCTTGAAGAAGGTGAAAACGCGTGGGGTCAATCTCCCAATGCAGAAAATGATCAAACATGGAATATAGAAATATTTACGACCACATTAACAGATCTTGTATGCATTTTTTTTTCTCAAAAAAATTCTTTTGTGCAATTTACGAATACCTGTTTTTTTTTTCTCTCTAGCAACCACATATAGATTGGAATAAGGTGATAGAGAAGCTTGACTACCCAGAATTTGTAGTCAATGATGTCAAGGGTCTAGAGATTATATTGAGTGCTTATAAATATGGGACAAAGGTATCTTTATAATAAACTTATCTTTGTGGCTCGTATTTTATCTTTGCTTAAATAATCCATCATTTACTTGCTTTAGGAAAAACAGTTATTCCCTATACACCTGTTTTGGGGCCACTGGAACAATGTTAAAGGACAGTTTAGTTTCTTGCGTCGTATTATCCAAGCGCCGGCAGAGATGTTTAGCTTGAGCAACTATCCTGTTCAAAAAGTACTGTCGTTGGAGGACTTTGCAACTTCTAGCACTAACTTCAAATCTATGGCTGGAATGCTTACATCTCACCCTTGGAATTCGGTGGAGTTGATTGAGACACTAATAAAAATGGCAGATTATGGGTTATTCGAAGAAATTAGATCATTATTTGATAGAATCACCAAACAAACTCCTGAAGTTGTTTGCCTAGGACTTGCGCAGGTTAAAGTAATTATCTCTCGCATTTTTATTTTAACAGTTTAAACGTATTCCCGAATGATCTGATTAATACTTTTGAATATTTACAGAAACCTTGGAATGCATTACACCAAGAGCTTTTGAGTCGATTACTTTCGATGTTCTTGGCAGGACATTCAAGCTCAACACCAGTGTTGACAAGGTTATGGCAGATCAATAGCAATCTTTTTATAGAGGGATGTCTTGAGGCCTACAAGAAGGATGCTATGACTATATCAAGAATACTCGACATCGCTCAAGATCTAAAGGTATGTTGAATGAAAAGTCAATATTTCGGAATCTTTAAAATGACATCTCTGAATATTTTATTTTAATTAACAGATTTTGAACCCGCTTCTAGCCGTGCAATCATTTTCGTTCTCTATTGATTTGGCGGCTCTTGCCTCTCGTCGAGAATATCTAAACTTGGAAAAGTGGCTACAGGACAATATTATTGAACACGGAGACTTGTTCATTCATGAATGCTTGGAATTCTTGAACCAAAAAATCGCTCTGGAGGTATCGCGCGATACCAATGGCGGATTTCAATCCGTGAGATTATCTGTAGACGTAATAGCTATATTCTTACGAATACTTCCTAATAGGTTAGTACCATAATTCATGTGTTTTTTTTATCGTCAAATTATTACTAACCATCTAGGAATGTTAGCTCAATGTCTGCAGAAAATTCCGAGTTATTGAAGGAAGTACGTAGGAACTCTATGCAGGTTCATCCAAATTTAATAGGCTCTACTGAAGGTGAAGTTCCTGGCACGGAACCTTCGTTTTCAGCTGATGTTGAAGAAGAGGCAAATTCTTATTACGAGAGAGTGTATCGACAGGAGATTACTATAGAGGATATGATAAAGCTACTTCAAAGGTTTAAGACTTCAAAGGATCGCCGAGAAAATGACATTTTTTCTTGCATGGTTCACAATCTGTTTGACGAATATCAGTTTTTTCCAAAGTATCCACAAAAAGAGCTTACCATCACGAGTGTTATATTTGGCTCGCTCATACAATATCAACTCGTAGAATATTATGCTCTTGGCATTGCCCTCCGTTACGTTTTGAACGCGCTTAGAAATCCTGCTGATTCAAAAATGTTTAACTTTGGAGTTCAAGCCTTGCGTCAATTTCAATCACGTCTTCCGGAATGGCCTCAGTACTGTTCGCACCTTTTGCAAATACCTCAGCTGCAACAATCTTTCCCTGATATTGTTCAAACGGTGAAAAGCGCTCTTGCATCAAATATATCTGCCCCTGCAACGAGTTCCAGCGTTTCAACTTCTAGTAATATAAATAATATTGGAAATGGGGATGCATCATCTTCTCAGCCGATAAATAATAGCAATACAAATGTTGAATCTATAAATTCTATGAGGCTAATTTCTGAGTCCGCGAGTAAGGTTATTGATAAGCCTGCATTCACTGCGTTAAATTTGGACACTTTATTAACCGCAGATAAAGTTGACTATGGAATACCTAGCGAAGCGGTTCAGGATAAAATTCTATTCAATATCAATAACGTTGCTCAAAGCAATTTAGAATCAAAGGTTGCTGAGATGAAAGAACTTCTTAAAGATTCTCATTATCGTTGGTTTGCTAACTACCTTGTTGTTAAGAGAGCTAGCATAGAGCCTAATTATCATCAACTATACTTGCAATTTTTGGATGCGCTTGAAAGTCCATCGTTATCTAAGCATGTATTACATGAAACCTATTCCAATATTAAAATTCTGTTGAACTCTCAGAAAACTGTGGAGATGACGTCCGAGAGATCATTGTTGAAAAATCTTGGATCATGGCTTGGGGGTATGACGCTGGCCCGGAATAAGCCCATTAAACACAAAAACATTGCTTTTAAGGTTTGCGAATATTAACTTAAATTACTATTGAAAATTAATTAAGGTGATAATAACTTGTGCCTTGGCGTCTTTACACATTCTAGGAACTGTTAATTGAGGGATATGATAATAATCGATTATTAGTTGCTATTCCATTTGTGTGTAAAGTGCTTGAGCAGGCAAGCAAGAGTAAAGTTTTCAAACCTCCAAATCCTTGGTTGATGGCAATAATCAAATTATTGGCAGAATTATATCAATATGCGGATTTAAAATTAAATTTAAAATTTGAGGTTGAAGTCTTGTGCAAGAGCTTGAATATTGATCTTAAAGAAATTGAGCCGACCACCATACTAAAGGACCGACCTCCAAAGGGAACTGTCACTATCGGTTTTGGGCAAGAATGGCCAAACAATCCTAACCATCAACCTCCATCGAAAGTGATACCACCAGATTCACAAATACCTGTGCAAACCACCCCCGCTATTCATTTTGGTAATATAACATTATCCATGAACGGTGGGATTTTTTTAAAAAAAAAAAAAAAACAGTCATAATCTAACAATTATTCCTTCTAATTGAACTTTTTTGGTTTAATAATAGATGATGGGAATATGAACCTTGATCAGTATGTTACAATCAACTCCAATTTGCCTTCATTCTACAATCAACCAGTGATTAGAAGATCTGTTTATCTAGCGATCGACAGAGCAATTCGCGAAGTAAGTTTTACGGAGTTTTGAAAAAAAATTTTTTTAAGCAATTTAAAGTTTAATGTTTGGGATTTTTAGATTATTACTCCTGTCGTAGAACGATCTGTCACAATTGCCGGAATATCGACTCGCGAGTTAATCGTTAAAGATTTTGCCATGGAACCGAATGAGGAAAAGATGCGAAATGCAGCTCACTTGATGGTACAAAATCTGGCTGGGAGTTTAGCCTTGGTGACATGTAAAGAACCACTCCGACTTAGTATGGTGAATCACCTAAAGAATCTGTTATTCCAAAACGGTTATAATGAAGTGAGTTCTCGCATTTTTTAATTCCGCAACTTGCGTTCACTCAAAAGCCCTGTCATTCTGATCTACATCTTATCAAAAAGCAAAACATTTCAGAACAAGCCATCCTAATGATAGTCGCTGATAATCTAGAGCTAGCTTGTTCATATATTGAAAAAGCTGCTATGGATAAAGCTTTACCTGAAATTGATGAATCATTAGCGTCATCCTTTAGCAATCGTAAAAAGCATCGCGAGGTTAGAAATTCTTCAATGTTATTTTGTATTCACTGCTTAAAATGAATATATTTCTGACATGTTATGATTATACGTAAATTTAACATTAAAAACAGCGAACCGGGCAACCATATTATGACATGACCGTTTATTCTGGTATCTCACGTTATATGGGAAATTTTCCAGAACCGTTACGTCTAAAACCAAATGGATTACAACCTCAACAATTGCGCGTTTACGAAGATTTTTCTCGAATCCCGAGACTGAGCAGCCAGGCAGCTGCTATATATGGTATTATTGAAATTTATGTCTGACATAAGTCCCGTGGTACTATATTAAAGTTTTATTTTATACTCTTTATTACTAGACGAACGTAATTCACGAGTTAGCATGCATAGAGGACAGGAATTCCCAATTGGGCATAATTACAATTCTGCTGAAATACCGTTTGATGGTGCACAAGTTCACATACCCATCTCTGCTCATCAAAGTTTGGAGAAATTCAATGTATGTGAATCATAAATTCAAATGTTTAAGTTATTTTACGATTATTAACCTGCTTCATTTTAGGCGTATCTTTCTGACCTGGATAAATTAATAAGCAAGACACCACAAACTACGTGGTCTGCTTTGCCACCCAATAGCGAAATTCGCTTTTTAGTCAAAGAGATACCAATATTGGCGACCCAGTCGTTTAATCGCGACGAAACTGCTCTGCATTTTTCGCAAAAAGTGATGCAATTACTATATAAGAATGATTCTAACCTTTCGCGCGAAGTATATGTCACACTGCTCGAAAAATTGTGCGAAACTTCATATAAAGTGACCAAAGAAGTTACTGCTTGGCTGATATATGCCGATGATGAGGTTTATAACGGATTTCTAAAATATCTTTTCAGCATTTATATAATATTAATTACGATAATATATTATGCTTATTGATTTTTAGCGAAAGTTTATTGTACCAGTTGTTGTTGCGCTGATAAAGGCCAACTTAATTAACGCGGGCGACCAGGACGCGCAACTCGCCAAACTAATCGAAAACGGAAGACCTGTTGTGATTGACTTTACCACAAAATTGATTCGTGAGATCGTATTGAAGGATCCACCATATGCTACACGAAATGACTTCGTGAACTCATTGGATGCTCTAACCAGGCTTACTCAACGTGGAAAAGCCCCTGAAGCGTTAGTATCGATGGAAAAATAACATTCCTTGGATGATCTCTTTAAAGTAATATTTTTTAATGATTATTTATTCAAATAGCGTAATTCAACTCTTGGAAGATCTTCGTTTGCGCACAAGCCGGGATTCTCTGAGTAAAGATGTAGAAAACATGGGTCTAAGGGATCAACTGGCCCTCTTCTTTGCCGAATGGGTTAAGGTTTACCAACACCCTACATTAAATGAAAAAACTTATGCCAACTTTATAATGCAGGTATGACATAATGAGGGAAAGTGTATCTATTTGTTTGTATATGTCACTATTAAAAATTTTTCCTAATGCCTTGACTTTTTTTAGTTGCAGCAACAAGGCGTTCTTAAAGGAGAAGAAATATCTTCGATGTTCTTTCGTGTCTGTACAGAAATGAGCGTGGATCATTACCTAAAACAAAAGCTTGCCCATGCCACCCCTACAATTTCATATCAAGCAATTGACGCTTTTTCAAAACTCATTGTGTTGTTGGTTAAATATCACTCGGATCCTGAAGGCGTTAATAATAATGTCGCCAAAATTAATTATTTAACAAAGATTCTGTCAATTATCGTGCTGGTTCTCGCGCAAGCACATGAACAGCGGAGGCAACAGTTCAATCAAAAACCCTTCTTCCGATTGTTTTCGAGCCTATTGAATGATCTCAATTCCTACGAACAACAGCTCCAGCCCATTTACTTTCAAATTCTTATTGCTCTAAGGTATATTTCCGATTCTAATTCTACTTAAAGTTTATTGATTTACTTTTTACCTCTAATTATTATCGTTTTCCATATAGCAGCAATACATTCCATACGCTTCAGCCATTCTTCTTTCCGGGATTCACCTTTGCATGGCTTTCCTTAATTTCACATCGTCTCTTTATGCCCAAACTGTTACTCGCTGAGAATCAAAAGGTTCACTGCTTTTCAGTTTCCATAAAATTTTACACTACATCTTCTAATTACTACCAAATTTTCTTTGTTTAGGGCTGGCCTGCTTTTCATAAGTTACTCATCTGCTTGTTCAAGTTTTTGGTACCATTTCTGCGCAACGTTGAAATGAGGGACACCACACGACTTTTATATAGAGGGACATTGCGTGTATTACTTGTGTTGTTGCACGATTTTCCTGAATTTCTCTGCGATTATCATTTCAGTTTTTGTGATGTGATCCCACCATCATGCATTCAACTCCGAAACCTTATTTTAAGTGCTTTTCCACGAAACATGAGACTACCTGACCCCTTTACCACACCAAATTTGAAAGTAGACTTGCTTCCTGAAATATCCCAATCACCTCGTGTCTTGAGCGATTACTCGTCTGCCTTAATTGCTAACAATCTCAAAAACGACATCGATACTTATCTAAAAACACGTACTCCTATACCGTTCCCAATAGAATTAAAGAATAAGCTCATGATCGATAGTAGCAATCAACCTGATATAGCTTCTACTGGATCAAAGTACAACGTACCGCTCATAAATTCTCTTGTCTTGTACATCGGAATTCAAGCTATTAACAAGTCATCTCAGGGAACGTTACCGCTCACTCATAGTGTTTCAATGGATATATTTCAGCAATTACTTGTTGACATGGACTCTGAGGGTTTGCAATATTTTTTTTTAAATTCAATTCGTTCAAGGTCTTGTTAATTGACACATAATGTTCCTCCAGGTCGATACCTGTTACTGAGCGCCATTGCCAATCAACTTCGATATCCAAACAGCCATACGCACTACTTCAGTTGTATTCTGTTGTATCTCTTCGCTGAAGGCAACCAAGAAGTAATTAAGGAACAGGTGACGAGGTAGGTATCTCTTTTTTTTTTCAAAATATTTCATTGATTCCTTTGTTGATTATTTATTTACTTCTCAGGGTTCTGTTGGAAAGATTAATTGTCAACCGTCCGCATCCATGGGGTCTTTTAATAACTTTTATTGAGTTGATTAAGAATCCTCGGTATAGTTTCTGGAATCATTCATTTACGAGATGTGCAGCTGACATCGAACGTCTCTTTGAAAGTGTTAATCGGTAATCTTCCTTCTCGATTATTAATCGACAAATGGTATATAGCATACGTTTAACTAACACCGTAAAATTTTTCTTTTCTAAAGGTCTATCAATCAAGTGTAAAAAATCAATCAATTTTAAACTATTTATACATGAGAGACATTATATTAAATTTATTACGTGTAATTTCTACTCATCGCAAAAATTTAATTGACAATTTAAGCATTCGACTTCAATGAATATTAAGAATGTTCAGATAGACATTAAGATATCGGGATTTATTAATGAAATTTACCAAGACAATGATTTTTCTCAACGTCTTACACCACATTGGATTTCTTGCATTGTTCATTTTTCATTTTTTTTCTGTATTCAATAAAAATACCTTATATAGAAAAACCTTAAATGCAAAAAGTTCGATGCAACTTGTAAGAATTCAAGTATTGTAAAAAATTTTTATCTTATTTTACTGTATATTCAAATTTTTAATTAAATTTTATTTGTGACATAAATAATTATATAAAATTTTGAATAAATATATTTTATTTTATTTTAGGATATTGTATAAAAAGTAATAATAATTATTATTTTTTTTTCATAATCAAACAAGTATTAATTGTGCTTATTTGATCATTGAAGTTGTAAACATAATAATACAAAGCTTTTATGCATAAATTAAGTTAATGCTTAAAAATAAAATAATATATTTTTTATTAATTTAAAAAATAAATATTCTTAAAAAATTTCTATTCTTAAGAAATCTATTTAAAAAAAATTAAAAAAGTTTTTAAAAAAAATTTATTTATTTATTTATTTATATTTCTTTTTAAAAAAGTTTTTTTTATTTTTGAAAATTTATTTATTTCTATTTGATTTTTTATTATATTAAATAAAAAAAAATAAACAAAATATTTTTTAAAAAATATTTTATATATATACTTCCTGACCAAAAGTTTAGGGCTTAATAAAATTTAAATTAATTTTAAATTAAAAATTTTTTTATTTTATTATATTTAATTAAATATTGTATTTTATATATTTTTTTTTTTTTTTTTCCGGTAGGTAAACATCATTTCTTTATTTATTAGTATATTGATAGATATATATTTGCGAAAGAAACAACATCTCTTGGGTGCAAAAAGCATACAACAAGTTAAATGCTAGCCTGCCTACACTTCTATA